ATTTCCTTTTCCCCTTAGCTAGTTCCCCTACTTCAGAAGCTTTGTACCAGATCTGTTGGGAATTGTAAAACAAAAGAGTTGTCAAGAAAATGGTGAACAGTGTGAGTTTTGTTGTTGATGTTGTTTTTTTTAATTTTATTATACAGTGTTGGCAATTGGAAATTTCACATTTAAAATAATTGAAATATTGTATCCAACAAGTCAAATACAGAAAACAGTTAATATTCTAAAAAGGAGCCAGCTAGTCAACGCAGAAACACATTAATGGAAAATACAGCTTTTAGTTACACTTAAAAAATTATATATTTAGAATAAAACTTGAGCCTGGTCCAGTAAATTGTCTGACTTGTAACAGGAAAACGCATTGACACAGTTTAACGCGCAGACAGTCTTTATTTTAAAAAGTGATCTGTCAGTGTTAGCACATGGATTGTTAGCAACACCTCCCTTAATGTTCCAGTTGAGGAGCTGAAGTATATGCTTTACTAACTGTTGTAAGAACTACTTGCATTCTCATCTCTGCCTTCTGTACTAAGCTGGTTCTGAGTGTGGATGTTTCAAGGAGAGTTCCGTGTGTCCACTTGTAGAGGTCATATACATATACTTGATTTCCTTTATGTATTATAAAGTATTAAAGAAAGTTCCAAATGGAAGCTTTTGCTTAACTCATAAAAGGTGCAGAACATTACAGGATATAGAGCTTGAAGATATTCACAACAGAAGAAGCTGAGTTTTAAGAAGTAAAGGATTTGGTATGGCAGTGTTGTCGATTGTAAAGACTCCATTGTAACAGTAATTTAAAATTACAAAGGAAGCTTGAACTATGGGACCAGACCTGTGAGCATCTGTGTGTGTCATCAACATCACACAAATGTTGCCCTGCTGATTTCAGCTGAATGATTGATGGTTCCAGTTCTGCACACGTGAATGTTACATCGATAAGTAACGTCAGGAACAGGTCTTTTGTGTCTACTAGGTACGTTATGGCTGTTAATAAAACTCTCAGAAAAGATTTACTTTCAGAAAGTGTTTAGATCTTTGCAAAAAAAGTTTTCTACTTTACACTAACAAATCACTTTTTCTAGAGAAACATTAAGTGAACAGTCGTAAACATTACACAACAAGAACCCCTACGTAATACAGTTTATACACATTACTCAACACTTTTCAGTTGTTGGTTCATTGTTTTGTTTTTTAACCATCTTGATCCTGTCTTGTATAATAGTTCTAGTGTAAAGGCACAGGTTGGTTAGGAAAGAAAAGCCTGCATCTCTGTCTTTCTACTTCTGTGGTGATGATTTTATTTTTACATGTTGCTTGTTATTCCTCACTTTTCTGACTCATATGAAAACTATCAGTTTCAGCCATTCATTAAAAAAAGTGTAAGACATTACTGAGAAGTACGTTGCTGTACAGAAGTGACTGAAATCTAATATTCTTACTTTAGACGCATTTCTTCAACTTATTTTGTTAAATATTTGAAAGACTTCATTCCTCAGTCACTGTGAGAAAAACACATAGCACATGCACTCTCTCGCCTTCTCAGTGGACTTAATTCCACATTTAAATTTGTATATAAAGATTAGTAATGGAACTTGCTAAGTTTGTGTGCAGAATTTGCTTTTAGAATGCATGAAGATGTAACAACAGACAAATTGGAAAACAGTGCAACGTTCCATTGAAGTTTAGAAGGATGAGGAATGTAAATCAGACTGCAGAAGTCTTTGACATTTATTCAAATAACACAGTGATTGTTCTATCTGTTTGCATTTTCTTCTGCATCCTCAACATGTCTCTGTCTGTCCCTTCATGTACACTTTCCATTAAAAAAAAAATATTCAGGAATCAGTTGGACTCAGCTAAGTGAAGAATATTGAATTTGATCACTTGGTTTGTGCCAAAATACTAACCTAGCAAGTACAGCTCTGAATTAAATATAATCTACGTGATTACTTCTTTTTAAATAAATAATAGAGAATAAAAGATGAGAATAGAATTAGAATTCTATTTTTATTTTAAATGACAAACATAACCGTGGGGTGAGATTAGAACCCAATATTTCTTTTGCTTAAGGCAATCAAGTGCACTTATTTCAATGCTTGACATTAATGAGTTCATTGCTATTGTGGAAGTCAGACTTCACCAATTTCACATACAAATCCACAAAACATGGCCATTTGCTAGTTCTGACACAGCACCAGATTCTTCTTAGTTGTGTTCAGTAGCATTTCACTTGACGTTTGGGGTTTTTTTAATACAGTAATGGGCTCTTAATAGTAAAGGAAATAGAGTCTAGCCCATTCTGACTTGTATTAGCACTGCATACAAGGGCCATTGGGCACATACATTTTTGTAAACAGATTTTTTCTTTTTGGCTTTAGAAAACAAACAACAGAACCCAAAATCTACAGTTGTAGCAATTCAAATAATTTTGTAAAAGTCCACCTAAAATGATGATTTAAGACATGCCAGAAACAACTTCTTAGCACCTTTTTTCCTTCTGTTAAACTGTGAAATCATCGTGAAGCCTTTGGAAGTGGTAAGATCTATCTCTGAAAAAAAGTAATCTGAAGTTTTCATCATGAAGATGACTGTAAATCTTTAAGATTAGATCAGTATTAAAGAGTGTGCTGACAGCTTACAATATGCAGCTACTGTGAATACATGGAGATTAAAAGAAATGGTTTTCTTGCATACAATTCTTTTTAGATCTCAAGCTTAATTTTAGGCTGCGGCTACTAGCAGGCGCTTTTTCACTAATCAAAATAATTGTAACAAAATATCATCGTTGATTTTTCAAATTACGGGGTTCGTAAAAGTTTTGACATCTAATAATATATAAAAAGTGAATTGAAGCTTTTAAAAGACTTACGATTTTGAGACACAAAAGAAACTGGGAGGTAGACAGATATTTTGAGGATAAACAGATTTTTTTTTGTCTAAGGCATTATGCCACTATATGTTTAGAGCAGTATAAAGGCTGCTGATTAATCTTATTTCAATTCCAGAGCGTTTGCTGCTCATGCTTACGGAAGACTATCAATGCACTTTTGGTCTTTGTGAATCTGACCTTCTCTTCCCCATCTCCTTTTTTTCTCTTTAGCTATACAGCTAAATGGAAGTGCTCTAATAACTTCTGCCCATTGCCTGTAGACAGGAATGTTCTGTTCTTCAACAGTAATAAAATACTATAAAATAGTAGGTATTGGAGTTGGAGATATGTGCTCTTTTGGTGCATATTTTGCAAAGAATGGTAAAAAGACAGACAACATGACCCCAACAATTGCCAGCATATACCCCCAGCCGATCTGGCAGTCTCCTGCATAGTAGATGTCTGCATTCTCACAGAATCTCTTCACAGTAGCAGAGTTGAAACCAAAAGGGTAAACCAAAAGTCCAGAAGCCATTATGAACACTAGAGAGGGAAGAAAAAACACACCAGTTATTACCGAGCACTTAATTCCTTTGGAAGACAAACCAACACCTTTTAGAAAGGCAAATATATTAAAATCGATGGGAAAAGTCATAGCTTAAGAAAACCCCTTCTGATTGGCACTTTATCTTCCTTGTCATAATTACCTCTTATGGACAGCTGTGTCATAACATGGCAGCAAGTTGGCACTGGGATATTTTGATGAGAATTCTTGCCCATGGTATGGCTTCAGCAACGTCATAATCCCAATTTTGTAGCCGTTTAAAAAGTAAGATGATTCAGATACAATGGAATCCGGTGGAGAAGCATTCCTATGTCTGCAGATTCCAGACCAGCTTGATTTTCTTCTCAACAGTGTTTTGGTACTTGAGACAAACAATTACTTTGTTCTGCCAAATAAAAACTTTCAATGAAAGAGTTTAAATGTCGTTTTTCAGATTCTGCTGCTTAGATTCTCATAATGTAAGCACTTTCTCATTTTTCTCAGTAGTACAAACTCAAATTGTTTAAAAAACACTGCATTTGACCCAAAGATTGTGAGATGAAAAACTACAGTCTGTCTTTTTTTTATTTAGCTTTTAGCACTGGAGTCTTTCAGAGTATGTTTTTTGAATTTCCTCTGTATACTTAAGGATTAG